TTTTTGTAATAGGTGAATGTGCGATTCACAGTTCTCTTATTTTGGCCAACAGAATTCATGCCAGGGAAATATGCAGAATGTGCAAGTTATTGTTCTGGGTTTTTTGGTTGGTTTCTGGGTGGTTTTTTTTTTGTTTTTTGGTTGGGTTTTGTTTTTTGGTTTTTTTTTTTTTTTTTTTTTTTGGCTAGAACTGGTATTTAGTGTTAGCAAGCCTGGATACTTCCCTGAGGATTAATTTATCAAACACTAAATAAAACATGTCTTCTGACTGTTTTCTTTTTCCTAATGTTTATTTTCCATGCAATAGAGAGGTTACTTTTTTTTAATAGAAAGTGGAGTGAAAGCAAGAAAAAGACTTAATAGGAGAAGAAAGGTGCTGAAGAAATGAGGGATGGGGAGTTAGTCTATTGTGCACCAATCTATCACTTTCTCTTGGGAGAATACGGAAATGACTTGTCTATAAAATTCTCATTAGCCTAAAATAAGCAAAAATCTCTTCTGGAATCTTATTAGGCAATGTCAAATTGAGTAATAAAGGCTTGTTTTTAATGAACTCCTGAGGACACTGGTTGAGCTTTAGCACTGCTAAACTGTCTCTTACAGTCAATGTCTCTGTCTTCATGGTAATGCTCTGTGCTGGGGTGTCTGGGAAAGCAAAAAAAGGGTCATTTAACAATGTTACTGGATTTGGAAAGACAAATGGCTTCCTGATTGTCAAATTGTCCACATGCCAATAACAAAATCTGCTATAATTTTCCTCTTTTGTTATTCCTGTCCAATTCTGTGTGAGGATGCTTGTTTTGGAATTAAATTGCTCTCTTGCAAATTACATCAGTCAAAGGTTAGTTTATTATGCTTGAAACTAAGGTGCTCAAGTAAGGCATGCACAACATTGAAACAAAGTAGCTAAATTAGTAAATTAGAAGGGCTTTAACTATTTTATCATCATTTTTTGTTCAGGAATGATTCAAGAGAATCTTTTTGGCTTTATGAGGTGACTAGAAGGTAATTAGCAGTTTCTACTGCATATACAATTCACCAACTTCAAAGTATTCAGTGGTTTGGTTCCATTCAGATAAGCAACTTTCAGCTTACATGTTTATCCAGGACTTATCTGAACTATTTGGGCTGAAGTAGTAATAGGAACAAAACCTACAACTAACTGAAAGTTAATATTTTACATTAATAAAACACCAGCTATTCTTAAAGAAAGAAGCACGAAAGACTAAAAACTTAGGACACACTCCTTGACTGGTATGAATCACCTTAGCTCCATTAAAATTGATATAGACCATTGATATTTAACTTCCTTCTGTATGTGGAATCCTACAGGTTTTCCTTATGGGGTATATGCCATGGGATCAAATTTACCTGTTAATGTTGAATCTTTTAATTTTCATGTACTCATTAGAACATTCTCAGGCTTTTTGCGTTCCCCTCTTGAGAACCTCCTCTGTAGCCCTTTCTTTTAAAGTTTTATTTTAAGTATGTATTCAGGCAGAGTAAATGGATGGCATTTAAGTGATTGTGCTAAGCTCTTGATTCTTGATCTTTCTTGATTCATTCTTTTTTCCCGCTCTCCCTTTCAAGAGGTGGATGGAGACAGTAAGTTAATGTAATATTTCCAAAGGGAATTAAAGTGGCTTTTAGGAACTTGAAGTATGTTCTGCCATACTTGGTTGTAGAAATTGGCATCAGGGACTTTGCTGATGCCTTTGGACATGAGATATTCAGTGACTGCTACTTCCCAAGCCAATTATGTTGGACCTTTAACCATGGATGAGCTACAATGGCTCAACTGAGTTGGCACATGAAGGCAGGAAGGTTTCAACTCAGCTGAATTTAGGTGAAGCTCATAAACTTCCGTGCTATGAATAGGTGGGCTAGGAAAGTCCAGGTTTATGTTTGCAGGTGTCAGCTGAGAGATTTGTACATTGTAAGTGAGGTTCAGCAAAAATAGCTGGTATGTGGGCTTGGTTTCTTTTTCCTTTTGAAGAGTGAGTGGTGGGTGTAGCTCTGGGGCATATAAAGGGCAGAGTGTCAGGGCACACCTCTGGTCAGAGACAGGTTGAAATCTCACAAGAGACTGTTAAGCACTTCCTTTCTTTCCCTGTCTTCAGTTTGCCTGACCTTCAGCCTTCCCCCAGCTCTCTCCAAGCCTGCCTGTTACTGGCTAACTCTCCCCTTCCTTCCTGCCGTTTTCTGACTCTCTTATTCAATCTGCTGGCCTGTGCCAAAGCTCAGGAGTGGTCTTAGTATCTCCAGTGCTTCTGCAGACTTTTCCATCCCGGTCTCCAGTTCTGAATTTCCCTTCTGCTGCCTGCAAGCTCTACCTGCCATAGTTACTTCTGGTCTGCCATCCCCCAGTGCCGCCAGCATCCATGTAGCAGTGACAGAAGCGGCTCGTGGGCAAGTGGAGTTCAGTTTCCCTCCTTGCTGCTTTCCACAGGGAAAACGTCTGGTGCTGTGGGGCAGAGGATTTTGTAGCATAGCTTGGATATGCACTTCAAGCAAGAGCAGTGTGACTGCACGGATGGAGCACCTTCCTGCTTTCTCAACCAGACTAATCCTTGAACTGAAAATTTCAGTTTAATATGCACATCTGTACATGCAGATTAGCCCAGGGTCATTAGCTTTCTTACAGAGAAACCACTTCAAATTAAATAACATAATTGGTGAGCAAATATGCAAGGTATTTTGCAGTCAGTAGTAGCTTCCAGCCTGGCCCTTGATTCTGCACAGTGCTGAAGACACCAGACACATCTGGTAAAAATCACACAAAGATATTTAACAATACAGCTTGTTCCATCTTGAGAGTCAAGCACATGTGTAAACTCTTTCTTTGGCTGGGACCAGTATGCCAGTGCGCCCTGGGTTTCTACAACCTGAGGACGCCAAATTGTGTTGAGCAGGTTCTGCTATTCATCAGAATTTGCAGTGGGCAGTAAGTAGAGACTGTGCTACTGTGTTTTTTCAGAATGGGACTTCAAAATACTTAAGAGGAGTATAGGGCTTTATGTTCCTCTTTTGACATGTTGCCCTGCATGTGTAAGACCTCATGCAGAATTTTATTAATATGCTGAGAATCTGAACTCTTTTTATTATTCAAAAACACTTCATAGGGACTTTGCTGCTTAAAAAAAAAGCGAGATTCAGATGTATACTTTGTACCTTTCAATATTTGTCAAAGATTAAATTATCACAGCCAGCTCTTAGACTACTGATCAACTCTTAAAAACATACCTGTTTCAGCTTAGGTACGTGAATGGCCACAGCATCTGCATATTTCTCCTGTGTTGCTCTGTACTTAGCCTGGAAAAATGGCTGAGTATTGCAAATCCTGAAGTGTGAGTCTTCTGTTGTTTAAGATCTTAACTGGAAGCAGTTAACATATTTGTAAATGATCTCTGTATGTCAGATTTCCTTTAAATTTGGGGTTGAATACAAAACAATTGCACGGGTGTTTTAAGTTCCTCAGCTGTGACCCTCAAGTTTTCTTATACAGTGGGCTCCATTGTGTGTTGTTTTTTCTCATAAAGTTTTACTGGAGTAGGGCTGATAACTTGCCTTTATTTTCAGAAGGGCACCTTTATTTTCAGAAGGGCACAAAATGTAGCCCAAAGCAGATCAGGACAGTGCACCCTACACAGCTGAGAATGACTTAAAGTAGCTGCTGAGGTAGGGTGTGGAAAGGGAATGGTGCCGTGGGCATCGTTTGACTGATTGTAGTTTTCTGCTCGGTGACTCTATGTATATGTCACGTTTCAAAGTCTCTGGCAAGACTCCTGTTGGTTTCATGGGCTCTTTGATCAAGCTCATTTGGAATAAAATAGACTGGGAAAAAACCCTCAGAGCAGTAAATGGAAAATGGGCATTTTTTCCTGCAGAAAATGGGGTATGTGTTGCTTCTAATTTTTTTTTTTTTTCAGAAACACTTTAGCTCTTGAAAGAATTAGTTTTTAATAGAAACAATTTTGCATTAATAAACCTACTCATTTAAATCAAATATTTTATTTCCACTTAATATGTCTTTTCTCATTTTGCTTTCCTGGTGAGTTATTTTATTCTTTTCTTTGTGTTCCTTTTTGATTTTCCTTTTTGCAAAATAGCAGAAAACAGTGAAAGAGTAGGAAGGAAGGGAAACTAGAAGGAACATGTAACAACAAATGTGACAATTGACATGCATGTGTTTTTGTTTTGTTTGGTGGGTGTGGTTTTTTTTCCAAATGGCTCAACGAAACTTCATTTTGAAAAAAAATGCATGCTGATCCTGTGCATGGGCAAACCAACTTATTTTCTGCTAACGAAGTTGTCATGTAACACACAGAGACATATAAAGTCTTTTATATATAAAGATATATAAAGTTTGGAGTCCCAAACTCTGTGGGACTCCAAAATGTCCCCACTCAGAGTTTCACCACCCACACATAAGAGCCTGATGGCTTTTAGTTTATGCAGATAGTGATCCCTTCTGTTATGAAAGTGAAAAGGTAGAAAGGAGGGGTAGCTCTGCTGTTGTCAACGTACCCATGCTGATCTGCACTGGCTGTGGACCTGTCCTCGGGTGTTTGGTTAATGGATGAGGATAGAGCATCCAGGCTGGATGATGAACCTTTCTAGCTCTTCTCTTACCCTCTCTCCTCCCTTTCCCCCCTCCAGTGCATGGGTGGCTGAGCAGCTCCTGAATGGACAGCAGAATAGTCACTAACACCCATTTTTAGGTAAATTGTCACTGATTTCGGTTGGTCTTCAACGGTCGTAGTTTGTAAGGAGTTTGGCCAGTCACGCACCAGGAACAGACATCTGGGAGGTGTTGCTGTCACCTGTCAGCCCTCCCGGGGCATGATCCCTCTTGTCAGTCCCAGCTCTCAGCTCTACCTCTTCTGTTAACCCAAGGGACAGGATCAGGCACATTTAGGATGCTGCTCTGTGATCCTCATCAGCAACGTCCCACAGGATCATTGTGTTCTGCTGGACTGACGTGCTCCTGTCTCTTCCAGATTGCAGTTTCGGAGGAAACACGTACAACAGCTCTATGAAATGGCACCTCCCTAGCAACCCCTGTGTTACATACCAGTGCCAGGTAAGGATGTTATCAGCATCATGCTAATTGAGTCGCAAGCTTTTCCTGTGAAATTCTGAGCCTTTTTTATCCAATCCAAATAAGCTGTAATATTCTACACCCAAAGCACAACAAGGACTTTGCACTTAAAATAGTTTAAATCCACTCAGATGTGGCCAGCTATAACCAAACATTCAGAAGGATAGGTTTTAGATGACTTGAGTACTGGGATACACAAACATTGCTGAAGGAGAGTTACACAGCCGTGCCATTTCCTGGTGTCTTGACATTGAAATAAGTCCTCTTTTTTTTCAGCATGCTAAGCCGTTGGCAAGATGCAAATACACTTTTGTGTGTGTGTGTCCATGGGTTTTACCTGGGATGTTCTTTAAGAGAAACCCACAACCAAATCTTCTTTTCTGGGGCTCCTGTGCTGTTAACACTGTGGTATTTTTGGCAGCTTGCCTATCTGCAACCATAACATTTGCAAGATTGTCCATTTTCAAGCACAAATCAAGTAATTATATAGGGAATTTTAGCTTCTGTGAACAGATCTGCAGGTTTTGCCCATAAATTGATGCAGTTTAATAACAACACTCAGGCAGCTACTAAGAATTGCAGCTGTTGGAAAGAGGAGAGATGCATGAGTATGAAGAGCTTCTAGCAATAGGGAAAAAGCGTTTCAAGATTTTTCTCCTTTTCTGTGATACTTCTGCTCTACAAAACTCACCCATGTTTTTAAAGTCAAATGCATTGAGAAGAATGGAGTTGGAGCAGCAGTATTCTGTATCCTTGCACTTAATGAAAAGTTACTCATGGCTTGAATTTAGATACTCTGATCACTTCTAGCTAACTGAAATGAGCAATTTATTGCCTGTTTCAGTGTCGAAACGCAAAACTGGGTGACCCTGTTTACTCTAGACCCACACATTTAAAAAACAGGTTTCCCTTGCCTCCAAATGCAAGCAGCAAGCGGCAAAAAAAAGTAGGAGCCCTTTGTGCACAGATCCTCCCACCCAGGTTTGTTCAGGAGGACTCTTGACTTCTCCAACAAGAAGTACAGGAAATGTTAATTAACTAATACTTATCAGGCAAAGCATCAAAGATAAGCGTCTCCCCTCCACAGAACAAGATGCTTTTATCTGCTTTCTAAGTCTTTTTTCCTCCAAGGGGGAGGGAAGAGAATGCCTTATGTCTGGCCTGTTTTCACCAGAGCTGCATGGCAGATTACTGAGGCTAAGGATTCCTGATAAAGCAGGATTCCTTTTCCTAAGAAGGTGCTTGGTTTCTTACCTGATGCATTTTAAGGCAAATATTGTGTCTGGAGTCAGGGAGACTCAAGTGGATCTTTTGGCTGTGGATTAGCCTGAATCCTGATACCAGGCAGCAGGTAGAGAAAGAAAAGAGGTTTTGAAATCCAGTGCTCCCCAGCATGTGCCGTGCTTTAATTGTACCACTAGTAATTGTGGATCTTTGCTTGTTAAAGCCACCACAATGCTAACAATGAATGTGTCTGATCTGCTTCTTTTTCAGGAAGGAGTGATAGTAGAGTCAGAGGTACAGTGTGTTGTTCATTGCAAAAACCCTTCCAAACTCATGGGAATGTGTTGTCCTGTGTGCCCAGGTGAGATTTCATGGGAAGATGCTGTTCCACATGTGCAACTGTATTTATGATAATAACCATCATGACCTGGGAGGTTGCCTCTAACTTCTCTGTTATACTTGACAAGTTACTAAAATGTGGGCCAGCAGCTTGTGATGCACTAAATGACATAAGAAGAGCACGCTTAATATTTTTTAGTAGAGGACATGCAGATTAGGGGGTTGCCAGTGGCAATATCCACATATGTATTTACGTCCTTTTTCAGAGGGTCTGTCAGCTGTGTTTGCCTGGCTGATGACTGGGATTTTGTTAGGAGGGGAAGTGTAAGCATAATCCTAAAAAAAGGAGACTCACTTTTTGAAGGGGATTGGGAATGGGTGGCCTTTGTGAAGCACAGTGGCAAATAAACATGGTTTTATAGGCTAATTTGATTTTAACAGAGGTTTTGTAGGTAAGCATACCTACTTAAGGTTGTGATATAATGGGTTGATTATATTCTAATTAGTTGTAATTTCTGCCAACATCTAATATAAACTCAGGGAATAAGAATGAGTAGTAAAAAGCAAACAGCTTAGAAAAGTGTTTCAAAGCCACTTTTAATGGAAGACCTGACAGCCTCGACTTCATTGGTGCAAATTTATCTGTGGTAAGGGGTGCTTTCTTTCCCCCAAAAGATATCTGGGGGTTCTCAAGGCCTTTGTACAGGCCTTTGGAAGTGATTTCTATCAGAGAGGATGGTACGATTTACTTTTCATATTGTCCTGTGGTGGGGTGTGTTATAGAGAAGAGGCAGCATGCTATCCTGAGCTAAACTTATTCAAATGCTGTTTTGCAGGTTGTATATTTGAAGGGAGACATTACAATGAAGGAGAAGAATTTAGGCCTGAAGGAAATAAATGTACCAAGTGCTCTTGTATTGTAAGTATTTGCCTTTTGGCATTGTATCTCCCTGTATGAACTTCAAACGGCATGTTATTATTGCCATAACAAAGCAAAAAATATAAGGAATTCAACACTATTATGCATTCTTTTCTTGGAGCTCAAGTTTCTATCGAACATTTTACTGCACTGTATCACTCCTATTCTCTGTTTATCATTTTTTTTTGACGTCACACTGTGTGCAGATAGCGCAGGATATTTGGGAGACGCTCAATGTGTTAAATTAGTGATGCTATTTTTTTTTTTTTTTATGGAATCATGCAGGAGGAGACAGAAAGCTTTTGGGGTTTCATCTATTGACCAACATTTATTAGATGTTTCCTTAAACTGATCTTTCGCAACGATTCTTCTCAGCTGCACGTGGCAAGGGCCTTTGCTCGGAATTACTGAGTGAAAGGATGAGGGCAGCTTCCTTAGGCTGTCCCAGGTGGATTTTGGCTTGACGCTTAATGAAAAGGTCATATCCTGGATTTTACCCTTCACTAGCAACAATATAGAGAGGAAGTAATAATTGCATCCTTTGGGTCATGAGTACAGGCTTCTCTTTCACTTCCATTAAGTTAGAAGATAATGCTGTATGAGTTGGGGCAGATAACTTTGACTTCATTGGTGTGATCTGAGAGATCAGTAAAATACAAAGTTCAAACCACTGCTTTGGTTGCAATATATGGGCTAGTTATCAGCAGAAAATGTAAGACTAGGGAAATTTACATTTCAGTAGAATGCCAAGAGTTTTGTCAGTACCAGACACAGCTCTCCTGCATCATGATAATAAAATAAAAAAGGGACGAGAGAGGGATAGAATTAAAAAAATAATATGTATTTATACATAGACAGACACACACATTTAATGAAGCTGCTGTGGAGAACTTGGACTGTTTTGCAGGAAAAAATCCCAGTAATCTGCAAAATTAATTTACACTAAATCATCACTGCTACTGTGGAGAATTAGTGTGCTCAGGTGCTTTTTTTTTTGTTGTTGGTGTTTTTTTTTTTTCTTTTAAAGTTTTAATCCTGTAATAATGAAAATAGGCTGTCACACATGTCACGGTGATATATGCCCTGGGCTCCTGCTCTGCTGAATGCCTTCTGTCCCAGGCTGAGGAACATTGCTCCTTCTGTACTCGGTGTACTCCCTCTCACTTCGGCTTCAGCTGTAAAGAAGTAGCTTTACACTCCTGCTTTCCTTAGCCATGTTCCTCAGGGGAAGGCAGGTCTGAATGATTGAGAAGTCTGCGGAGACATGCTGGAGTTTTTACAGGCTGTGCTTTGCTCTTTCCCAAGTACTGTACAAGTATTGCCTATTGCCCAGTTGTTGGTGTGCCAATATCTCCTTGATCAACTTTCCTTTGTTCCCAAAATAGCAAAAGCAACTGTGTTGAGAAGAGCACGTGTGTGTATGTGTATCTAGGGGAGAAAAGATAAAGAAATACAGGGTATACAGGGTCAGACCTGAGGGTCTTTCCTTGACAGTTACCAGCCCCAGGTAAGTGAGAGAAGGAAACACATCAGCTACTGATAGTAAGAGACTTAAAGCCTCCAGCGAGAGGCTTAACGATCCCTTCCGAGCAAGGCGGTCTGACAGTTTTGGTTGTTAATGCCATCTTTATAAAATGCCCAGCTCTAATTCTGAATCTTACTGACAGCAAAGAAAACACCATCTGTGTGTAAGGCACACCTGACCTCCCTTCTCTCTCTCTGGGATGCCTTTTTTTACTGCCTCTTGCCAAATTCCTTCAGAATTTGTGCCTGTGTTAATTCCTATGTAATTTAAATTGGAAGCAACTAATGGGGGCATCCTCAGGGCTGTGATAGTGGTTTTCTGCCTGCTTTACATCATTCCCTTTTGGGAATTGGTCCCCAGTAAATCTCTTATCTAAGCAGTTGGTGGTTGTCTTATTTAAAGATACCTATCTAGTCATGTGATGTGATGGGAACAGGCTTGTGTGTGCTGTGCTGTAACTTGTGCAGGCTTTAAATAGATGAAAGGTAGCTCTTCACCCCAAATTAGATTTCTGCTGGGATTTGAGATTGTAAATATTTAGTGGGTCTTTCGTGGAAATGTGACAGAGGAAGTGGTACAAATTATAACCAAAGTATTTTGGGGGTGGTGGTTTAAGGGTTCAAGACACTTCAGGTTGTATTCTGTAGAGAGGGATGGCTGGGGTTTGTTTTCCCAGAGAGATGCAGGGCTGTACTGCACTCACTAAATGTATTAAAATGAGGAATTACTTACAAAAAAGGAATGTTCCTGTTGCAAAATGATGCACTCAAAAATCAGCAGCCCTGGGATGTGGGGCCCAGTCTTCGGCAAGCTCTTTGGTAGTCCAAGTTTGTGGTACTTTCAGCTCAAAGTGATGCCTACAAGATACTATTGAGGTCCTGAAGAACACCAAATTGTTGTTAAGATGTTTTTGCTGTTGTTTTTAACACACATTGCTTGTGCAAATGAGGACAAATTTGGGATCTTAGGAGTTGGGGAACCCTATTTCAGCCATGGCATGGCTACGGGTGGGCGATTCACTTGGTCCTTACCCACCATGTGCTCAACTCATTAATATTAATATGGTTTCTGTTTAATACAACTTGTGGTTCTAGTTATTGCCCTCTGAAAACCGGACCAAACCCACCAAAACTCATTTCATGGAGGTCACTGAAACAACCCATTAGCTAATGACTTTTGGTTTGCTACCGAGCCAGGCCGCGCTCGCGGCAGTGAGACGGAGATGAAAGGCCCTGTATTCCATTACTGCTCTCCTGAGCGAGCCGCTCCTTGGGGCGACTAAGATTTCATGCTGAAAATGAAAATGTATCACCTCTCACTCAATGCATATTGCCTGTCAGGAGCGAACGAGCCGGCTTTTAATGACTCGGTTTCTCTGGGGAGAGGCATTTGTGTAAGAAAGGTGGATGGGATAATAGGGATCTCCTCGCACCCCGGCTGAAACCCAGCTGTCTCGCAATAATTCATCTGTCTGGCCCGTTCCTGCTTTCCGTGATAGGCCAGCGGCCTCTTCTAGAGAAACCTTGGATATTTTCCCTACCATAAGCACCTACTTAAATGAAGGACTGGCTGCTTTAATCAAGTGTTATTTCTCAGATACTACTTTTATGAGGTCGAGAGTGTGTTTCTGCTTGCACAGTGAGAGCACTTGGCTTACATGTTTCCTTTCCTACAGCCTGCATTAAAATAGTCAGACTGTGATTATCTTAAATGTTTTCATTTTCTCTTTTGATGTAGCACGTTTGGAAAAAAAGAAAAAAATAGTGTAGGGGGAAGGAGAGAGCGCCAGGGAAGGAGGAGAGGAGGTTTGGCAGGAAAGTGACCTTGCATGAGAGCGGTAACCATGGAGAAGCTTATCTTTAAATGGTAGTATCCAAACTCATAACCAGCCCCTTTTGACTCACAGTGCTGTTACCCAGACCATGGGCGCTGTGCCTTTCGGCATGCAAGGCATGCGGCGGTACGAAGTACCACCATGCTGGGAGCGCTCAGCACTATGGAGACGCCGCAGCCCAGGACCCGTCTTCCTCCACACCCCCGTGGGGAGAAGGGGGGTGGACCCGCACGGGAGATGGTTGGAGGCTGGATTACAGCATTGCTGGGATGGCCAAGGGCTGGGAGCAGGAAGGGTCGTGCCGTCTGTCTGTCCCGCAGTGAGGAATGTTGTGGGGATGACCATTGGCAGGGCGGTCACGCATGTTTTGTCCCCAAGCAGCATCATTTTGCTTCTCAGCTGCTATCCCAGAACGTTTTTAGCAAGTGAAACCCAAATGGCTGGAAGCAGAGCAGAGGGCTTTGGGGTCCTTGGAGAGCTGAATTTAAAAGCATCCTCGGCTTGATCTCCTTTGCATCATCGGGGGCTTTTACACTGCTGCTCAGGCGTGCTCAGAGGGACTCAAGACACACAGAGATCCTGGTCTGCAGGTGTACGCGTGGGTCTGTGCAGGAAATGTCCTGTCGCTTATGTTCCTGAGTGCTAGGGTGCAAAAACTGCATAATGAAAGTTTTGCACAAAGAAAAGGAAATCACACCAAGGAAATCTGTTCCTGAATCAATGAGTAACAGGCGTTGCAACTGTGATAAGTAATGAGAAACTACATATGTTAGTATTTTGGACGCTGAGTGTAGAATTCATTTTCTCTAGCTCCAGCTATTCAGTAGTAATGTGTTTGGTCTGAGCTACTTGTCTGGGTTCCTCTTCAGTTAATGGAGAGAGAGAGATGTGGGATGGATTACTCTCTGCAGATGCCTATCTTCCTCCACTAACTACAGGGGGAGCCTACCGGGCTCCCTGGCCTCTGAGATGGCTGAAGATAGCTGAGATGGATCCCACCCCTGCAGTCAGCTGGGTGATAAAGCACCCTGATACTGCTGTAACGGTTTGGCTTTAACAGATATTGGGAGCTGCTGAAATATGTTCCCAGCACAACAGACTGCGGGGGAGATACTCTGTCTACTGGGAAACACAGGGGAACACGCAATTAAATGTATCCTCAGTGAAGGCTGGTAGCAGAAGCTATGTCCAAATTCAAATTTCCATCCTCACTGCGATGCCAAACACTGATCTTCCCAAATTTCCATGTACTCTAGCTGCTTTGATTCAGCTCCAAACTCCAGCAGACACTGTCTGCCCCCACTTCGGGGGCTAAGAAGCTTCAACAGAGTTGTAGTCAGGGGTGGAAAAGCAAAGAGTTGGTCTTTTGGTAGGAGGAGTGTTCACTTTCTCAAAGTTAGTGATGTAAATAGAAGTGGTTGGCTTATGGGTGGATGTAAATGGAGAGCAGTAAGCATTCAGAAATGGGTTATGGTGGGGTGCTCACTGTGTCTCTCTGGGAACCCCCATAAGTTTGTCTGCAAGGCTAGAAAGTTTGTTTCTCTGACTAGGTAGGTGAAGAAGTACAGCTGTGCAGGCAGGTGTGAAGAGCAAGGACTTGATATGTGCTGAACTTCAGCAAGAAAAATAATGCAGCATAGA